GAGCCACAGGAACAGGGTGCCCAGAGAAGCTGTGGCTGCCCCTGGAYCCCTGGAAGTGTCCWAGGCCAGGCTGGAYRGGGTTTGGAGCAGCCTGGTCCAGTGGAAGGTGTCCCTGCCCATGGGACATGGATGAGSTTTAAGCTCCCTTCCACAGGATTCTCTAAGCAGGCAAACCCCAGAGGAGACAGTGTCCTCACCTGGTTGGGGTGCAGGCACACACAGTTGATGGGAGCGTTCACCTGGAAAATGCGTTGGCACTGGAGGTTCCTGGACCTGTGATAGACAGAAAACGAGGAGCACTCAGGGGTGTGAGACCCCACAGCTCGAGGGTGCTGCCGGAGCGGGGAACCCCCCGTGCCCACCTGAGGTCCCAGATCCGGGCCATGCAGTCCTCCCCGCCCGTGTACATCCAGCGCCCGTCCTCGTGGAACCCCACCGAGGTGATGTTCTTGCTCACGCCGTCGTAGTTGATGACGGGGTTGGGGTTGTTGGAGTTGAGGTCGTACATGCGGATGTGCTGGTACCCTACAAGCASCGGGCAGCGGGTGAGCACCGGCCCGGCTCCCGGAGTGCCCCACGGGACAGGAGCGCTCACCTGCGGCCGCGATCATGCTCCGGTCCGGCGTGATCTCCAGGGCGTTCACCTGCTGCGGCCGCCGTTAAGGGCCATAGGAAGCATCAGCCGGGCCCGACCCGGGGGATGGAACGCGGGAGCGGCCCCGAGCTGCCGGGACGGCGGGGAGAGAAGGATACGGAGTCCTGGTGCTGCACCGTGCGGGTGCAGATGCCGCTGTGCGCCTGCCAGAACCGCACCGTGTGGTCGTAGCCGGCCGTGGCCAGGATGACCGGGTCGCTGCCCACCGTGCCCTGAGCCGCGTTCATGGTGCCGCCGCTCCCGGAGCCGCCGCGCCGCGCCCCGCCCGCGCTCGGGGGACTCCCTAAAGCCTGCGGGGTGTCTGACGCTCTGCGAGGTGTCTGTCACCCTGCGGGGTCTCTGTCACCCCGCGGGGTCTCGGCCCAGCCCGCGGGTTCCCCTCAGCCCCGTGTCCCCCCGGTCCGGTCCCGGTCCCGCTCCGCTGCCGGCTCTGCGCATGCGCACAGCGCCACCCCCAGCGCGCAGCCGCCCCCGACCGCATCCGGCCCGAGTGCGCATGCGCGGGAGCGGGG